TGGCAGTCCTAATCTGCATGCTATCACGAATCTGGCTCGATCTTATTGGCAAGTTGAGTCTCAACACCAATCCAATTGTCGGTTCTCCATCTCAGTGAGAATTCTGGCCTTAGCATTACTTCAGGTTCGAACTTCATTCACAATTTATATGCTTCGACGACACTTTGATATTGGGTCCTTAAGAATTAGTTAGTTGATCAATATTTGTACTTCTGAGTATCTGTTACTTCTACTTTTGCAGTTCAAATTCTTAAAAGATATCCAAAAATGGTTGCAACATCAACAAACATGCGAAAACTAGATATTGGATGTTACAACTATTCATTTTGAATGCATAATGCTACGCAGTAACCAAGGAAATGTACACTTAAAGAAACGCTCTTGAACAAAAATTATGAAGCATTTATTTTTTATTCAGCATCACATTTCAGTTTCAACGAGGCAAAAATCCTTTCATAAACTAAATGTATACAATATTGAACAGTTGTAGTTCTACATTTTCATGCAGAACCTAGCTTAATAATCTAGTCTAGAAATCCTTTGTAAGGAAAGAGGCATTATTGCAATAAATTTTCCCTTTTCATTTCGTAAAGAATTTCTAAATGGTTTCACTTGAAGAAAAAGACCAATCGCATGATACAAAAATAACAATGCAAGATTAGCAGTTACTCTTGTGGACAGAAGAATCCTCTCGATGCTCATAATTACAGAGGTGTTTTAAAGCGCTTCCACTTTTGTAAAAACATACCTCTTTTAGTTGTATTGATATAAAACCTTGTATAATTACAATAGTAATGTGATGATAACGTCTCGATGTTGTATTATGAGGGAGAGAAAAGAATCGTATTGCTTATAATATCTCGTAAAATAAATAAGCCCTACGCGCATACATACTAGAAGGTGAATTATTAATGCATGACTATTTGATAAGACAATGCAATTGTGGACAATACAATACGTGGTTTTACTTGTTCTCTCTTCTGTGTTTGAATAGGCTTCATCCTTGACCATGAATAGTAAATCATACGGTTGAAAATACTTTGCATTATAATACACATTCATTCACTTTTTTTTTAATGTATTGTCGTACATGATCAAACGAATACCAACGCTTACGAGGCCTTGGTAAGTAGCTCAACAGACTAATCCTGTTCATGACTGATTCAAACATAGATCTAGAGCTCAGCAAGGCAAGTCGTGTCTTAAGGGCGCACTCCCCCCCCCCCCCCCCTCAGAATCGACTTGCCACTTTGGATCATAGGTTTGCGCTGAAACTTTCAGCAATGATTGGTGCTGGTGAGAAACTTTTATGATAAAAATTCCAGCCTTGTAATCCTTACTAAACTGGAGTTATAGCCTGTTTTCGAGCCTTTATGAGAATCGAAATAACTCAATGATCATAGTAGATATCGAGGTTGGGGTGATGTTAAATCAAAACTAGCCTCTATATGCAACTTTTCATCGGACAGAATTTCGAAATTTGCCTCCATTGATTTTTTATAAGCATTTTAATGGACATGTCTCAAAAATGGTGCCGAAAAAAGGCGATAAATGGAGCTTTTCTCAGCCTAAGAACTTTATATCAAAAATCCGTCCGATGAAAAGTTAGTCCTAACTGAGACCTTTAAAACAAAAAAAAATATCCGGGAGAGCCTGAGCCAAACCTAAGTTATTTCAATTTTACTGTTAAAAAAGTATGTTTCGAGAAAAACACAAAATAAGTTTTAGATATCGATTTTCTCATGAAAGACTTGACAACTGATTTTAAAACGGAATATTTTCAACATGTTTCATTAGATCTTGTTACAATTGGTTAGAAATGAAGTAAGGTAGCGCCATCTACCACTTTTATGTGGTATTGCTCTCTTACACTTCTATGGTAAGACCAGTATTTTTATCTTATTAAACATCACTCATACTCTTGCACTAACAAATCTTACAAAATTTTGTTTTAGATCTATTAATCTAAATTTCAAATGACACGATCATCTATTTTGAAAAAAGAGAGAAATTTACAGCTGGCTTAAAACAGTTCCAAATTGCGAAGAACTAGAATCAATGTTAAAAGAGACACTCGTACATTACAAAATGCTCTTGTTTCTGATAAAGATCAATCAAAGAATAACGAACAATTCATGTACAAAACACGCTCATTTAGTGGTCTATCACGTCAAAAATTATCAAACTTTCTTGAAACACAAAGTATAGATGATAATAAAAATGTTAATGATTATTACCAGATAATTCATAATTTATTTCTATTGGAACTTATGAAACAGACAATATGTGTATCATGCAAAGTGATGTGGAACGGTGATATGTCCATATCAAAGAGAGAAGATACTGTTTATTGTGTTTTCTCTCGAATAAAACTTGAGATTTACACTTATGTTCTAGGTCTTTATTGTTCACTGGTGTTTACATGTCACTGCTCTCATGAGATTAAAATAAATACATCTAAACAATGTTTAAATACTTCTAAAAGAGATATAAATGTTCGAAGTGCAATTGGTGAGTTTATTATAAATAATTTGATAATCGATATTTTCCCTTAATATTTTAGGAGCGAATTTCACTGGTATCGATCATTAAGGTCTCACAAAGCTTGGTGTTATACTGAACCTACCAACTCTCATTAATGAAGAGCATTTTTCTGAGACTATCGAATATATACTTCCAACATTTGAATCACACAAGTCTCTATCAATGCAAAATGCTATCGAAGAAACTTGCAAAGAGTTAAATGGACGTAAAATTACTGTTAGTGGAGATGGTACTTGGCAAACACGTGGCTTTTCTAGTTTACATGGAATCGTAGATATTTTAACTACAGTGCCCATTGCTAAAGTACGGATATGATTAACTTATTGTATATTCTCAATCTTGCTTTTAGGTATTAGATATAGAAAGATTGTCGAAAAAAGGGTGTGGATGTGGGGTGTGGATGTGGGTGTGGGTGTGATCAAAGAAATCCCCACACCCACACCCACACTCACACCCACACCCACCACACTCACACCCACACCCACATCCACACCCTCGATAGGCATACACAAAGTTGACTTTGTTGGAATCCAGATCGACTTCTAATTTTCTTTAACACTTGTAGGATCATATCAGAACTGGAACTATTGACATTTCCTGTTCTTGGGATTGAGATCGCTCACCTTCATTCTGTATTAGTCTTGAAGTCTTGAAATCTATTGTTTCCTTCTTGATCAGAAAGTTAAAAAAATTAGTTTGTTCGAATTTGTTTCCGATTCTAATTTCTTTTTGCAAATTGAAACCATAAGGGATCTTATCACATTCAGAATCGGGTTTCACTAGACAGTACTGAGTTTTCTATTGTAATACTAATCGACAATATTCATTCGAAATCGCCAACTCCTACTGGTTTGACTTGCCAACCAGAGTAGATGGTAAATCATCCTAATCAAGTTTTAACCTGATCTACAAATACTATAAGTCAGACCATACCGGGTTGGAAACAAGTAACCTGTTAACAGCTCAGTTTCGTAATATGGACGTGATACTTTCTAGTTTTTTATTAATATTACGCAGACCCAAATATTTCTTAGCTATTATTGTTAATAAATAGTTTGCTTACAAACTTAATTTAAAATATTTTTATCAAACAATAATTCAAATATTTTTCAAGCATATCCTAATAAAAATTGTTTTTATCAATTCAATCAAACATCAGCTAATGATAGAAATCAAGTGCTTGCATACCAAGCATTTCAATCAATTTTTCAGATTATTCGTCGACAAATTGTATGCTACATACAGGGTTGCCAGATTGTCTGAAAAGTCAGGACAGTGTCTGAAATTTGGATGCCTTTCTGATTTCCTTCTGACAGTCTGATTTTAGCACTCTCGTCTGATTTTTCCTGTTTTTGATAATTTTCCCTGCTTTTCTCCTGAATTCTGAACTTTTCTAAATCATATCACAGCTTTTTTAGCGAAATTAAATCATATCATAATTATTCGTGTGAACAATTTCATAAATATCTTTTAACTCAAACACATTTGTTAAAGCAAATTCGAAAAAATGGAAAATATGAACAATAATATCGAATCTATGTTACATAATCATCAGTTTTTTTCTTTCATAGGATCTTATAACTTATATCGTATATATGTGATTTGTTTTTGTACTTTTTTTGTGAACGAATTTTGTGTTTAGCGAAAGAGTTCGGCACTACGTGTCTTCATTAGTTTTTGCTTGTTAGCTAAACAGTATATTCATTGTATTATGCTTTTTTATAGCGAAATATCTTTGAAAATAAAGTATGAATTAATGAACAGCTATTCAATAGAGCATCTTGTACCAACATGATACCATAATAACCACTAGGTTTTTCAAAAACTGAGTTTTCTGATTAATTTCTGATTTTGCAAAAAAAAATTCTGATGGTTTTCTGATTTTGAAAAAAAAAATTCTGATTTTTGAGTTTTCGATCTGGCAACCCTGGCTACATACCATATTCGATTTATTGATATTTTATCAAAACAAAAACATGAAAACTATTGATAAGTGAACGAATGATTTCCTCCTAAATCAAATACATTTCTATCGGACACCTGATTTTCAGATACACAACATAAGATATAAAAAAGAAACCTTTCAAAATCATGTACAAAAGAATCAGATTCACTTTCGGCGTATCGCATCATAATGAATAATGGCACCTTGATGATTATTGCAAAAATATATGATGAATGAGGTCCATCTACACAGACTTCGTTACCTTTAACATAGTACACCAAAAAAATAAAGAAAAAAATATACGAAACCAATGTAGCTTCAATTAACCATCGAATAAAGACTACGTATGTAATAGTGTAGTTGATCTTTGTCAAATCAAGCCATGTGTAGAGAAATGCAGCAACCACATAGATGAACATTAATATCACTTCTTGTTTCAATAAACGAATTATGTTGACTATTCCACTATCATCACTATTGCTATAATTTAAATCAGCCCATTCGTGATTAATAAAGAGCAGAGAGAAAAAATAAATTGGGAGGAATACACATGCACAGAAATATGCCTGGATATGAATTACAACGATGACGTGAACAAGTAACCAAATTTGTACATTACCAATACATGAAAATTCTTTGTCTTCGGTTAACGTCGATTTGTTTAGTAATATGACTAGATTTTCAATTGTTGAGAGCATTGATTTGTTTTATTTATGAGTAAACTGTTGTGACAATAATATCCATTTATATATGATATAAGAGTTCTATCATTTGTTTATTCGCTATGTTCAATTTTGCCTAAATTTTTTCTGTCTATCATTGACAATACAATTCAATGAATGTTGACCGAGAATTATTCATCGTTCAGCAATTTTTTTCTCTTTCGTCAATAACACAACTCATTCAAGGATGACCTGTAGTTGTTCACCAATCAGGAGTATGCCAAAGAAGAAATAGGGAGATGCAACTGTCAAAAGTTAGTCTTGATGAAAATGAAAGAATGAGTATTAATTACAACGAGTACAGATCCATGGATAATACAAGTAAGCTCATTCAATATTAGGTATATAAAATTTATTTCTAATAACTGTGATTGACCGCTTTCAGCAAGCATTAAATCAACAGAATATATAGAACGTGCACGATGACATGATGACAAATCACATGGTGCTTTTATTGAAATTGCACGTTCCAATACTTGACTAATTATTGAAAAAGTATTTTTCTTACAAAAAAATTAAGACAAAAATAAAATTTAAATAAATATTATTTTCATATTTAAACATCAGTTTATTCAAAACATTCTTGTTGTTCATCTAATAAAGGTATAAATTTTTCACATATCTTAATTAAGCAGTAAAGTTATAGTATGGGGCTTCTAAAAATCGTCTCTTAGCTAAGTTGTTTCTGAATGACTCAGGCTGATTTTACTATGACGTTGTACATGTCAGATGAGTCTTGTTTACAAGCTCAGCTATCAAACCATCCAATTTCTTTAGAGAAAAGCTTATTGGAAAATCACGCGTATTGCTATAAGGGAATCCTATGAGAAGTTGATGCTTTTTTAAAGATATACATCAATAAGCTGTCTATCGATAGTGAAAATTTCAAACTGCTATGCGATTCCTATCATGAAATATAAAACGCCAAAGTTGCTTAAAACATGAATTTTTCCAAATATTGCATGAGTCATTAAAAAAATAGTGACGCAATATTTTGAGCTGAAAATTTCATGTAACTTATAACTCATGAACATATATGTCCATGTAAAATTTCAGCACAATCGATAATACAATTCTTGAGACGTCATCTCATCAAAATTGTCTTTGCTTCAGATGCTCATTTTTAGAGCCTTTTCTAAAACACCCATCAAAACACAATAAGTCAATACGTTTTAACACAATTTCGGCAAACTATAAGAAGATCGTACATTGAGCAAAATCTAATGACCTTATTTAAGAAGCTCTGGTCGCGACTTGAGTGAAATAGCTCATATATATATATAAATATAGAAGTTATATACATATATGTATGTATATATTGAATAACATAAGTTAGTACTATCTGAAGTTTTTCTGTACGTATTCATGAAGGACAATTCATGGAAATTATCTTATCAAGATCGACTTCCAATAGAAAAATAGGAATTAGTAGCCAACCTATTAAAATTATATGTTGCAGTTCAATGTGTTTATTTTCAATATTAGGTGAAAATGAACTGATGTAAGATATCATTAAAAAACCTATGGAATAAAATTCTATATAGAAAACTAATGATCTCAATTAAATTATTAAAAACAAAATGAGAGAGAAATAAATTTTCTTTGTATTCGTAAAACTTGTTGAAATGAAAGCAAGAAAAGTTGTAAAATATTTTTTTTGTCAAATAATTTTTCAACTATTTTATTCTAATTCAGCGTTCATCGGAAAAAAATGCAATCGTTGCTCTTCAAGATTCTTATACAGATTTGAGTAAGTTTTTATTAAATAAATTAATTTGCTTATGCTTTAATATTTGGTTATTAATTTATTTTTTTTTCTTTAATTTTAAAAAGACAATCGAATCGAATTATCAACATCAACAGGTGTTTTACTCAAAATTGTTTTATTTTTTTCATAAATATTTAAATTTTCTTTTTCTTTCTTTCAAAAATATTTAGTAAAACGTATTGATGCTGAATGTTCAAATCGTCAAAGAAGTTCAAGTACAATAATGAATAATGAACACGATAAAGATAATCAATCAAAAAAGAAACATTCACAAAAACAACAAACAATTAAATTAAATTCTACAATCGATGATTCTTCACCAGATCAACAACGAAAACAAACAATTCACGATGAGATTATTCATCATAGTCAAAGTTAATCTTTTTTCAAACATTTTCTCAGCTAATTAAGGGAAAAACTACATTTAATAGTCTGGTGTCTTCTCGCACACACACACACTGACCAATAACCAGGACATCATGCTATTCGATGAATAATCAGAGAGCCACTCTATCATTAATAATGTTTTTTTTTCTTAATGTATTATCTGACAAAGTTTTGATAGCATTTCTCACATGATTCATGTCGTCCATGGTTTTATTACACATAAAGGAAAAAGAAAAAGAAAAAGTATCAAGATCATAGTTAAACATAAATAAATATTTAATTATTTTGTTTTAATTTTGATCCATTTTCTAAAATTAATGTCTAATTATCAACAATAAACTTTAAAATCGACATAAAACAATAAAAGAAACAAATATTTTTATTTTTATCTTTAACAATTTAAAATAATTCGAATAGAGTTGTATTCATAAATATCGAAATGATTTTTGAACAATATTCTATGGATTTCTGATCGAAGATTTTCAGTCATCAATTAATCTAAAGTAAACATAACTGAGATTGTTAATGATATCTAAATAATATTATCTTTGTTTAAAATTTTTGAAATAAATAATTTAAATTTAGATCCAAAGTTAGTTTTATCTTCGTCATCAGATAACTTATCATCTTGGAAATGGTCAAAAAACTATTTGTTACTTCCATTTTGTTTCATAATGTATGTATCAATAATATATATTTAACATATTTTTTCTATAAAACTAAATGTTAATCCTTGTTAGTATCAATATATTTTTATGCATTAAATTAAATGAAATCGATCAAATGACTGATCGTCTTTCACAAAATTATCCATCATGGTCAAATTGATATTCGTAAGAAAAAAATTCATTTAAAAAAGAACTTGAATAATTAACTATATTAATTAATTAGATACCCAAAAGAAGAATAGCAATGGTCTTTATTTTATTAAAAAGACAAGAAGAATATTATCAAGCTAAATTAATTGGTCTTCGTTCTATTTTAATATCAACTCATTATGCATTAAAAAATGTTTGTCGCGATTTTACCAAAAACAAATAAATTCTTATTCTTTTCTTTTCTTTTCTTTTTGTAATAGGTAACAGATGTTGTAAATGAATTAACAAAAATGAGCAGTGGAACAAGTTCAAATGCACCTATTGATCGCCTTCATATGCACTAATTTTATTTTGGTGCTATTTTTTTTCATACCGGTGTTTTTATTTCTTAGCTTGTTCTGCTGTTGAACAGTCTTTATTGTAATCTTTTTTTGTCTTTTTATGTATTTAATTCACTAAGAGAAATATGATTCCGTTTTTTTACTAAACCGTTGAGCAAATGAGAGAAAAAAAATTTCGTTTATACCATTTTAAAGTTATCATATCTATTGGCAAGATTTTTTTTCTTCTTTTTGTCACTTTAAAAGCCATTTTAATTGTTATCGAAATAAGATATTAAATAAAAGTAAACACAAATTAATTGCTTTTAATAAGATCAACATACGATATAAAACCAAATTGATTTTCTAGGAAATTAATTGATTTTTCACTTTTTGTTCTTTGATACACAATAAGATTTTTCAGTTGGATAAATTTTGTTAGTTTATTTGCTTTTACTTGAGTTGAGAATAATTTATTTAATTCGATCGATTTTAAAGTCTAAAAGTGTATTGAACTGAAAATGATTCTTCGATGAAATATTTCATTTATTATTTACCAATTTTTACGAATTAAGAGCAATTGATTTCTTATAGTTCCTACTATAAAATTATTTGTCATTGTCTTCCGAAAACTTTTGTAACTTTTTTCATGAAAAAAAAGTCCGTATTGATTTTAATGTCTATCGCTACACAATCATTTAAATTTTTTCGTGAGAAAGTAACAAAATGAGTTTTCTTTCATTCGAATATCGAAACAATATACAGATAAAACAATCTCAGCATGGAACGAGTTAAAAAATTTGAAAACTTATTTAAGCAGTTATTTGGGAAATTTTCATCGAAAACATTTCAAGATTTTAACCATTCCACTAACAAGAAAATCATCAGATCACATTGCTTAGTTTTTCAAAATTTTCATTTCGTAACTTCAAGTTTTCACCAAAATAAAATTCATTAAATAGCTTTCGTTATTGTGACATTACTCGTCATTATGTAAGTAAAGTTAAGCTTATATTGAAGTATTTTAAGGTAATTCTCCTCCATCAGCATGTTCTAGCAGTGCTATTTTGTATGTGCAGTTTCACATGTATTATATAGTAAAGCCGTCGACTTATTAGAAGATCCCGAGTCTTCTGTTCTGTCTTATCATTTACAAGTTATAAAAGCCTTTTTGTGCTGATTATGTTTTTACTAATCGTTTACCTCATTCTTCTACCCTAGTACAGTTAGCAAAACTAGTTTATATGCTATCACTAAAGAACATTTCACAATACAACTATCTACATTATGGAATGTACTAAATCACAGAAAATGCGACTACTTGACGCTTATTAGTAGAAGCTTCTTTCACAGAATCAAAGAACTTCATCATGAAATGTTATCATTTCATATAATCAAATAGAATATAAATTAGTTGTTTTGGCTTTTCGGCATATTATTTAAAACCAATTGTCTGCGCTAATTTTTCACTATTGAACTGGTAAGTAGTTCATCTCTTGCGAAATAAGGTTCTTGGACGTAGGTGTAGGTGTGAGGCTGTAGATGAATAGAATATTCATACTCACCCGCCAAATCTACACTCACTTTGCTCTAGTCTTTCGGCTATCTTTCAGTATAGAGTGTTGGCTAGTGATAGATTCATTAGTCTGATATCTTCCCTACAACTTTGACTGTATGTAGCTATGGACAGATAGTCATCCTGGCGTCGAATTCTTCTGCTAAATCATAGTCATGAACTAACCAGACGAAAAGGTCTATATGACAACGTAGTCAGTATGCTGTGGGACAGATGATGGAAGATGATTAGCTGTTAGTGACTTGTCTAGAATAATTTCATGGCTGATGGTATGGAGGTTTCAACAAGGATTTGCTCAATATATATCGAATAAGGTAGCTAATCACTTATGATAACTTGGGATGTGGATGTGGGTGTTGGCGCTGATATTCTCTTTTCTAACATCCATACCCACACCCCACCCACATCCTAACAAACTGTTGTTCATTTGAGATCCTAAAGTTAGAGGCATTTATCATAGAAGCGATTTACTAAGTTTTTTCTTTACTAAACTTCATGATTAATTAAAGTTATTTAGCTGGAAATACCAGTAAGTGTGTTTACAGATGAAAATTTTCTTTAGAGTGAGAAGTTAATTTGAATTATAATTCACTTATCAATATTCGACAGTATCAGTGATGTGAATAATGTGGAACTATGAAGAAATCTTTTGCATTCCTATTAGACGGTCGTGTATGATCATACAAGATCGTACGGTTCGCTCATATGTGGATCTTAGTGTAAGATCTGATGTAAAATTGCAGACACGACGATTTTCCATACGATTTTTCGTATGATCATATAGCATCAGGTACGATATTACTGTAATATCTGATACGGACTTACAAGAATCTGTCATTGATCTTAGGGTCTGATTTCTCGACCTGGGTGGTCTTGGAAGAATCGTGCATCAAGATTTGATATAAATTTTGCAGACACGAAAATTTCTTGCATGATTGGCGTCTGATATTACAAGATCATACACGATTACACTTCTGATTCCAAGATCTTACGTCTGACTTTTTGAGCTGGGATTCCCCATAATCCGAACCCACCCAATCCTATTTGTTCAGAGCAGGGCTCGAAAAACATCTGACTGGCTAAATTTCTGCCTCATGAAATCCTATTGGTTGAGTGCGGACCCAGAAAACATCTGATTGGGCTGTTCAGTAGAAGTTTAGTCGGAAAAGACCAATCTCTGCGACGAAGTTTGTTAGGCTCAAAGAGGTTTCCAGCTTGCGAAAGGTCGAAAGAACATTTTTCTTCCTGTGCGAACGAACGTAACAACTCATTTTGCGTAAGACCCTCCTTTTAGTAGAGGGAATAATGTCTAGATATTTATTGCTTTCTCTCTCATACATGTTAATGATTCTTTATTTTCTTGATATATGATGGGGAATCTAAGGTACTAATGTTATTACTAGATTTTTACATTGATTAATATGCGGTATATCCAAACCGGTTTCATCTGCGGAATTTTGAGAAAACTATACGGACAACAATTAGTAATTTAAATTAACGAGAATCGATTTTTATCACCCTAATTTATATCTAGTTTTAAAAAAATCCAATGCAGCGCATAAATACACTGGGACATCTTGTAGACAAGGATAAACATAAATCAGAATGCTGTGTAGTACCAAATAAAGCAGTTAAAAATATAGATATCAGAACGATTGTTACAATTTTTTGCTGTAAATCGGATTTAGTTGCTTTGAGCTCGCTATTTGTTGGGTATCACTAACTTATAGTAGGTATAGAAGGAGTTAAGAGGAAAAGCAGCCTCATAAATTCTTGTTGACTTTTTATGCGATAGCGCAGCTATTTTAAATAGAAGCTATTATTATTATTTTGAATAAGGTTTCATATACAGTTATATTAACAGTTACACAATACATATTGACCAAGACCAAAATTTTTTATCTCAAATCTGCATCTCTAGTGCATTAGTGATTGGTATTTGTATATAGGAAATGATATGAAATCTACATGACTAGAAAACAACAGATCAATACTAAAATTATTGTTTCTCATCTTCTCTCTAATCAGTTTATGTCTAGTCTTCATAGGCCGCTGATAAATATTGCTACATGCAACGCGATACTAAGAAATTGCTGGGATGACATCATCCAGGCGCAAGAGGCGAAAGGTCATGTAAAAATAAGAAGGGATAATAAATGAGGCAAACAAGTCTGAATACTGAGAAAAAATGATTACGTATTATGTGACCGATCTAAAGTAAATGCGTAATTTCATTGCTAGTTCTATATTTAGTTGGATAAATAAGTTAGCACGTGATTAACTAACAAGAGAAGTGCACCATCTATTTCCTGGCTTACGATTTTATCTTTTATCTATAAGTAGGACCCAGTGAAATAAAGAAAATTCTAAAAGCATTCGTTTTTATAACTCTTCGTTTCTGAGATATGGTAAAGTTTATGTCGAAAAAAAATGAAATTTTTTTATCTTTTGAGATTATTGGTCCTCTGCAATCTTTATGTCTATAATGCTGGCTTTATTACAGGTAACTCCTGTAATAATCTGCTTGCTGCAATCATTTCAAAGCCATTAATTATTTAGCCATGTATAAAATCGAGTCGCGATTGATCAATTAAATATATTCGAATATCAGATCAAAATAGTACTGTTAATTTGGTATTACTCATTTATTCTCATATGACGGTATCTATCTTTCGTCAACTCGTTGAATCGAGTTGATATGCAGACAGATACCTGAGAATTCATCCAAAAAACCGACACGACGTTGTCGAAGCTTGTTTCTCTTTCCACTAGTCTCTGTGCAATGAACAGAGACGTGTTGCTCGTGATTTGATTTATTGTTCATGGTGTCGGACCGTGTTATGTTTTCGTCTCTTCTACATGAACTGTTGCTAGCATTAAAAATGCATTCATTTATTCTACATGTGTGGCTTAAACATTGTATCATTTTGTATTTTTGACGCATGAAAGAAACGACTAGAGACTAGGTTCCTCACTATTGAAGCTTTGAAAGCTGGATTGTTTGAAGACATTAGCGAATTATTTTTTGATGTATTTTATATTGAAAACTATTAGAGTAGCATAAAAGCGATGATTCGAAAACAAAGAAAAAAAAACATGTTTTTCTACATAAATCTACCTATATCTTGGGAACGAAGAGCCATAAACGTGAATCCTTTTAGAATTTTCTAAGTCTTATTGAGATCTACTTACAGACAACAGATGAAATTGAAAGCTCAGAAACAATTGGTATACTTCCCTTGTTAGTTATATAAGAAGGTAGTCATCAAGATAGATACAAAATCACTTAGAACAATCCAAATGTACTGGCGGAAGTATTTTAATTACTTATAGAAAGCTTAAAGAAACTCTCTCTCAATGTAGTCTGATAGTAAAAGCAATGCTCTATTTTGCTATGATATTTGTTCATTCTTCAACTAATATCATAATAATAAAGTTGCAATAACATCTATTTTGGTTATGATGTGCGACGGTTAAATTAGTTTATATTGTTTTCAATATGTATTCTCTTCTTGGTTTTTTCTCTTTATTTTTCTTTTGCTCTTATCGTTATTCTTTTTTTTGTCGCCTTGTTGAATGTTTAACCGTCTACACTTATATATCTAAAGATACACGTCGTTTTTGTTTTGTTGGTATTAGTTGTTTATTAGTGTAGGCTAAAGAAAGTAAGAGAAATAAAGTCAGGTTGAACCTTCACACTGTCACTTCTTTTTCAGATGAGTACGGAAAAATTTCGCATCCACATTCAAGTGCATGCTGCAATCAATATTTAATCGAGAGTTATTCATGATAAATTATGTTCTGTTTGTGGTGATGAAGCTCTTTCTTATTAGGGCAGTTGAAAGATGGTTTAAATGATTTCGTAAAGGTCGATAAGAAATTGAAGGTAAAGCACGAACGACTTGTTTCTGAATTTCGTTTTTTGTTTTGCTGTCACTATTTTTTTAATACTATAATATATATGGACAGCTACGCATTACAGAATTCAAAAAGAGAATACATATCAAAGACAATCTGAACTAATGTATGCGACGCCAATCATAACCAAAGAGGTCTTATTGAAATTTTATTATTATTGTATGAGTTGAAGAATAATCAAATATCACAAAAAGAGAGAGAGTATTTTGTTTACTAACAGACTAGAAAGGTAGTCAGAAACTTTTGGAAACGCATCTAAATGTAAAAAAAAACTTGGACGTTCTTGGACACCAGTCATGAGTCTCGACAATCAGCAACGAACGGTGAAAAAATAGAACGCATGAAAACGTTCATACAATTTCACACTCTGTAACTGTAAACGTGTACAAATAGTGAGAACACAATATATGTATGTAAATACTCTTATAAATTTACAGTTTTTAGCAATTTTCACGACTCCTTTCCCAGACATGCGTTTTCTGGAATTATCGTGTGCCTGGGTATATAGAGAGGACGTTCCTTTAGCCTTTCTTTTTTTTTCAAGGAATAAAAAAACAACTCCGCCATTATTTGTTATACATTGCTATATAGGATCGTAATAAGCTAATGGCTGAAGAGACACATCTATTAATCTATGCATCAATTATTAATATTATGTGAATCCCTTATCTGGATAAAATTTCAGAGAGAAAAACAGATCAGAAAGGACGTGGAAGAAGAGAAAAAAAGAAAAGTGCATGTAAGCGCACGAAAAATCAAGTCATTTTAGAATTTCAATTGTGTTTCTCACTTGTGGGTCAGGAACATTTATAGTAAATATATTCGAAATTGCCTACGATTATGTAACGCAAAAGAACTGTCAAACATTTTCACTAGTGTAAGAAGTGATCGTTTTCATATTCCATTTTTCTTAATGTTTTTGGATGGCAATCAAGAACCACTGTTAATATCAGAAAATAGTGAAATTATATTTAGCGCTTTTCTTATTTTGCTTTGTTTGCTTGCGTAGCAATTATATTTAATCAAAAAATTTTTAAATATTTGTTTAATTCTTCTTTAGTTAAAGTATTCAATGATTATTTCTCGCAGAATAAATTACAAATATAAAATAACTCAGTCGTAAATTTAAATTAAAAGTTCTTTTTAGATAATTGAATTTTCATTAGTACAAAAACAATTCAAATACAATAATTCGAAAAAGTTTTTGGCTAGTCTTATTTTCAAATTTTTTCCCCTACTGTTGGCACTAAGAAATATTTAGATAGCGATTTAACTGAACAATTTTATTGTTGATAGATGTATTTGAAGATGAAAACGATTGTTAATTTTCTTATGATAAGATCTCTGAAAAACCTAAATTCAACTTTTTCAGCTTCTAGACTTTGAATATAGAATTTTTTTCGATTACTTAGAATAATAAAGCAAATAATTCTTTACAAAGGGAACTGTCTTCCAGCTATTTATGATCATTTTTTAAATTTAGATAAAACAGTCTTACATAAGACACAAATATTATGTCCGTACTGAAGCACTATGAATATCCTTCCCACAAGCAGTATTTTATTAAGAATTTTTCTTTTAGAGGGGCGAATCTCTATTTTGAGAGCAGAAACAAATATTATATGCTACAGTGACAATAAACTCTAGATGCACCAACCAAAATCTGCAGAGCAGCATCTGCTTCTCGCTATCTTCGTCGCATAAAATATTGCCCTCAAGGCTGACCTATCTCGGTGACACAAGCATCGGTGACAGAGTTTGAAGACATTTCATTATATTGGAAATTGCCTGCTCTATTATTCTATGTAATTCAAAGAGAATTTTATTTGCAAATCCTAGGAACAGAAAAGCATGACTTTTTAGTTTCTCAGATATCCTATGCTTGAAGAACTATCAATCATGGTGATCTTAAAAAAACGCTTAATAGTAATTGAATTCTTTATTCAGATCACTACTAGAATATTCTTTTAACGTTTTCGTCCATAAAAAAAAATTGAAACTAAACTTACTCGAACAATTTTTAAAGCTACTCTAGATCGATATAATATTATACTAATATATTCTATTTTAATAAATATAAATATAAACAGTTGAAACAAAAAAGAAAGAGTATTTCCTGTTCAGAGCAGTCTGTGAACAAACCAAGCATTGTAGAAAAAGAATCTAATTTTTTTTTTTGAAAATAAATCATGAATTTTGACATGATACCAATTTCATATTGGTTATTGTTTATGAAATAATAAAATACTTTTATTAAAAAGAAAAACAAACCAATATGCATGTTATTTCATATGGCAATATCTTCTTAAAAGTTGAAAAATATAAAACGATATTGTAACAGAGAAAATTCTGGCTTTTTCGAATTCATCTGAATTTCAATTTATTTTACTTAATGTCTTTGAAAACTTTTAAAAATAGTAAAACATAATAGGCATGCGTGTTGATATTAATCATTCAAGTGTGTAATTTGATAAAGTTTGTCACTATTGACAGTATTATGAAAACACGAGAAACAAAAAAAAACGAAAGTTCAGTAAGTGTGATAATGTTTATGACTCACAATCCTTGAATTTTGTCAAAAAAAAGGAGAAAATGTATCTTATAAAAATAAAAGTAATTTTCAGTTTTTAATTAATTTTTCTTTCAAGATTGTTGAAATCAGATCATGAAGATGTAGAAATAGTAATGTTAATGTTGTTCTATTCTCACTTACTAGTATACTAATATTTAATTTATTCACATTTGAAACATATAATTTATTCATCTATGAGATAAATTTAGATCCTATCATATTGCTAAAATAGTATGAAACATCTTATTGAAAATGTTAATTTTTCATATAGCCAAAAATAAGAAGATGTACAATGAGTGCATGTTTTATTTGTCAAATAGAAAATATATTTCGCATTGGTTATTTCAGTATAATGTTACTTGCATTTTGTCTAATTAATTAGATACATTTCATAGAAATCTTTCTATCTACACAGATATTTCATAGGCTTTCAATGTTTTCTCTTTAAATATTGTTATCTACTCACACAGGATCTTGTCAAGAAATATAATTAATAGACACATCGTAATGAAAGGTTGTCAAATACACTAGCAGTCTCATATACTTAGTTCAAGGATTTCCTCTACTAAAATATTGTCAAATGATAAAGTTCATGTTAACTGTTTTAGTATTTTCTATCAAAAGTAATAATTATGAATTTCATAGCGATCTCCTCATGATAGATAAAAATCTTAAATGAAAATAAAGATTTATAATATTGAATTAATGTAGAGCAAATAAAAATCGATTGTTTCAGATTATTTTATTATTAAATGCATTTCTTACATAGAAAAATCCATATAATAAACTATCTCTCATTTTTTGTCAATTAAAATCGTAGTCATCTTTTAATTGAAATCAATTACTCATTAATCACTTAATGACTTTCATTTCAATGCTGTTATTCAAAAGACTAACAAATATACAAACATGAATTTATTAAACATCATTCAAAGCTTGGAAGCATACCTTTTCTAATGTTTATCTAAATGCAAAAGCACATCGAATTAGAAAACAATCCAGGTCCTATATGAAAACATAGAACATTGTTTTTATAATATGTTTTTGTTACCTTTGACGATAAACAATACTTTCAGACAGAGTTCATTTGATATTCAATAGTGAATGTAACTTATGAATTATTCATTTTCTCGTATAGTTTTTAGCTGAAATATCACTCCTAATTTAAAAGAAGAGTATTTCTTATCATATTTTTTATCAGAACTAAAAGCTTGGTTTCTTTTTCCAAATGGATAAAACGAAGATAAAATCTCAATTTTATTTTGTTACTCATTAAGTATTTTGCGTTGCTAACTTTTCTTTTTTTTTAAATTAAGCAATATTGCTCTTTTTTTTAGATAACAAGAACAGTAAATTTCTGAGGTTATTTGACTCAATGGATAAAATAAGAAATGTCGTTATAAAAATATTATTACAAAGAAAAAGGAAGTAGTAGAATAAAATGAGAAAATTTCTATAAAAAACAATTATTCTTCTCCTCTCTTGTTTTTTTTTCTATGTCACTCTTCAATACTTTAAAGACAAACTTCAGCATAATAGATAGCTTATTATAAATTTCAATTTTGTTAATAATATTTTTGTTCTTTGTATGTCCATTTATTACAGATATTCAACATGTTTAACATATGAATCGTTTGATATTTGTACAAGATACTATTTTACTTGTACTTTACTCTTTAACATCATTATTAGCACTTATTGGTAATGGAATTGTATATCGAGTATGTTTACAACGTCGTAATAGTATATATTCTCAATCAACATCACACTTACCATTAACTACAACAAGTATATTTTTACTTAATCTTGCTATAGCTGATGCATTATCAGGTTTAACAATACCAATTCAATTTATATTTTGTTCAAAATATTTTTTGGAAAAATTTCCTTGTAGTTCATATCTATGTCTATTAACTAAATCAATAGAAATTCTTGGATATAATGCATCAACATTAACTATATGTGTTATTGCTTTTGATCGTTATCGTCTTGTAAATAATCCATTACAACAATATCATCGAATTAAAACTCGTCGTGCTCTTTTCTTTATATGGATTTTACCTGGACTATTTTCAACAAGTTGTTTAGTATCAATGAAAGTTAATACATATTTTAATTCATATCAACAATTAATTAGTTGTGAAATATTATTTCCATTAACAACAAAATATTTTTCTAATGATTATATTCAAAAGATACGTGCTTTTTGTTTAACATTTTTATTTTATATTATACCACTTTTTATCAATACGATTTTATGTATATTAACAATGCGTACAATAGCACGTCGAACTATTATTGGTGTTTCGAAATTTCGAACATTTGAACAATCACGAACACGTTCAATACGTTTATTAATGGTTATTGTTATTGTTTTTGCATTATCTCATTTACCTGTACATTTTATTAATGTACGAGATTTTTTTATTTCATCATCAAAAGTATCAAATGTTCGTTCGACACAAGCAAATAAATGTAACTATTCAACAATGTATTTATTATTTTATTGGTTAGGTAGCAGTAGTTGTTGTCACAATCCAATCATATATAGTTGGTTTAATAGACAATATCGAACTATAGCTTTGAACTACTATCGATCAATCGTATATTGTGGACGACAGCAATTATAATATTGAAAATAAATTATATTCGTTTTTAATTTTATCTTTTTTTTTTAATACATACCATAAAAAACTTACTTATGCAAAGCATATCATAACTCGTGAGCAATAAAATCTAATTGAAACGAGTAAAATAAATATCATTAAACATTAATTTTATTATGTTTAAAAAAAAAGACTACAGGTAGGTATCTTTAATATCTAATGAAATCAAACATAAATAAATAACAGCAAACTACTTTATACAACTACATATAATCTAATAATGTACAAACTGTTAATCGATACTTATTAATAAATTAAATTTAGATCATTTTTATATGAAAAAAAAAATGAAAATTATTATATAATACTAATTTACATTTTTTTCTTTTCTAACATTTATAACTAGGCAATAAATATAAAAAAAAAAGAATTATATATAAACATCATTGATATTTTTCGACAGTGACATGTCATTAATTGATCAGATTTTCTTCTATATCTTGTAAACATAATTTGAGAAAGAGTATCGACATTTTTTATTTTATTTAATATATTGTCTTGTATACATGAAAGGTGCTTGTTTTGACACGTATTTTGTTGATTTGCTCTCTGCTTTGTGTGTTCAACATATATATATATACACAAAAAAAGTGCAAACATTGTCATCTAGAATATAATTGAATTTACATGACTAGACAGTAGACATTGAAATAAACCATCACCCTATTTCACGCCGTTCTTATTTGCATTTTCCTTATTGCAAAAAAGAAAGAACGCGTGCCAAACATTAGCTATTGTACTAACTAAAAAATGACCGATGTTTTTGTTTTACTTTAATGTTCAAATATTTCTGATTTATCATCATTCAAGCGAGAAAAACAAATACTTCAACAGTAGAATAAAGTGGAATTTATGAGATTGTACGTCACGCACATTTATTTTTTTTTTCTTATATTTTCATTTCAAAGATGACAAACGTTGACATTATCTTTATTCTAGTTTAATTATATTAGGAAACCTGTTGTTAAGTTTTATATTCATTCTTTTTCCTTTTCTTTTTTTCTTTTATTTAATTCTTTTTTATACATCTATCCTGTCATTGTTGAGACGATGAACCTTCTTCATTTGTCTTTTTATTTCTTAAGCATACATTCATTTATTTTATTCAATGAACAACAACATTGCTCTCGACCTCGTCCATTGTATACACATACGCATCATCCGTTTATATTCATAGATTTTTTTTTTTCTCTTCTTGTCGTCGTCCCTATAGTTGACTAGTTAGAAGTTTGTCCTGTCGTCGTCGGACTCGCTTAAATTTCGAGCTGTATGCTCTAAAGAAGAAAAGGGAATAGTGCCAATGTTAGACGATGTGTTCTCTTCTCTTCTTTCTTTCATTTGCGTTCTATAGTAAAAAAAAAAAAAAAAAAGAGATGTATTACCTTCATTCACACATAAGCGATACAAGAAGACAAAAGGTAGACAATAACTAGCTTTTTCTTGTCATTTTTTTTCATTACACCGGACATTTGAGAGATAGAGAAAGAAGAGCAAAAAAAAAAAATTCCACTTTTTTTTTTTTTCATCGGTTGTAGATTCTTATATCGTATAAGAAAAGGAGAGGAAAAAAGCGAGCTTTTCTTCTTCTTTTTTGACATCATTCACTTCTTTATATTAGAGTCATCAACTAAAATGACAGCGTCGGCAACCTCAAGAATATATTTTTCCTTTTTCTTGTTTTTTTTTACTATTATAAATCATTATGATTAGATTTAGTATGAAATTATAAGCTTAATCGACTATTTTGTTTAGATATTTAGTTAGTGTGAGTAGATATAATGGCAGCTGAAATTGATGGTACTTCAAAAGGTCTATTAGGTAAGTAAATATAAAATAACAGTATTAAAGTGTTTGTATGATTTTTATGTTGATGATTTTGAAAGGTTTCTTTTACAAGAAAAAAGTTGGTTAGAAGAAAAATTGTCATTTGTTCTTCTTTTTTTTTTTTTTTTTTTATTCTTTGAGTCTCGTTTTTTTCTTTTCTCAAAGACTTGTTGAAGCATAATAAAACTACTCGAATAGGAAAAAGAGAAAACATAAATAGATTTGTCAAACAAGAAGTTTCATCAAACATCATTATTTTAGTTTCACATATCTTCAATTTTAGGAGCATTTGCTGCATGTACACTTATAAGTGGTATTGTTTCATTGGCCTATGGGATCATATTATTAATTCAAAATATTGGTGTCGAATATAATTATGGTGTAATTAATTTATTTACGACAAGTATCATACTGATTGTTGTTGGTGGTTTATTAATAATAACGGTACTTTTGGGTGTATTTGGAGCTCTTAAAGATATTTCGAATTTACGTTTGGTATCACTTGTATTGCTATTCATTTTATTTGTAGTACTTGGTAAGAAAATTTTAATGATTTATTTCATTTTTATTAAACTAATATTTTGTTTTTAGTGGTTCTTGGTGTTTGGGCAATGGTTTCATATAAAACAGGTCGTTTACAAAACAGTATTGATTTGGATATGAATCAATTCAAAGAGACATCGGAAGGTTTAACACCAATGCTCAAGAAAAAGGCTGATTTTTTAAATGAAGTATAAAAAATTTGAAAATTGATAATATTTAACAAAAAAAAAAAAACTATTTTCGAAACTTTAGAAATATAATTGCTGTATTGCATATAATCCAAACACAGATTCGGGAGAACCAGTACGAACTTATTGTATTCAGTCAGGTAGTAGAAATTCATTTTAAGATTTATTTAATGAAATTTTTCTAGGTAATGATGACAATACAAATAATAAAATAGATTTTATAAATGTTTGTGTTAAATCATATTTTCAAATAAAATCCAAAGAAGTTTTTCGTGTGGCTGTTTTGGCATTAGCAACTGCTGGTGCAGTCCTTATTGCTCTTCTTTTATATGGTGTTGTATCTCAACGTGCACGTGCTGGCTATGCAGCCGTTTCTCGTGGGTAATCTAATTAAGAAACAATAAACAACAATAAAAAATATATATCATCCTATTTGTCAAAAAGAATTTTTTTTTTTTGATTTTTTTCTGTTGTGTTTAATTAGCATTGCTCAGGATCAATTAAAAAAAGAAAAGAAAATCATATATATATATCTATATCTCAGCTTTGTCTTGTGTTGTGTGCATACATTTATTCTTATAGTTCATCGAGTGATCTGTGAATTCCATATAGGTGGAATGAGGTTTATTATCTCATTAAATTTAGATTACTATTGTATGATTGTTTTGTGCATACATTGCTTTGTATATTCAATTTTAAGTGTGTAAATCATAGCATATATAAAATACATTTATTAAAAATTAAATTGATTGTTTTTATTTCATTAAATATGTTTAGAGATATTAGTTTCATTTGATAATAATATCAATGGTTTGATCTTTTGAAAAAAAAGGTTATTAGAGAAAAAGATAAAGATTAAATTGAATGTAATGATATTTATATCATAAAGAAAAAAGAGAAATTCAAGCCATTTGATCCGTTCAATGATGTAATGGAAATAAAAATATTCGATGACATTTGTATTAATTTATAGTCTAGATTCAAAGAAAGATATAATAAGCTTGCAAACATAAACTTTCGTGATAAGTATTGTCGGTTCATATGTAAAGTTTGGAATTACAGCGAATATAGACAAAAGAAAGAAGTATTTTGATAAATATGAAATGACAAAGACAAAATAATTTCATTGAATTGATATCTATTTTAGTATATGTTGTTTAAAAGAGAAAAAAGGGTCACATCGATAAGATTTTTGTTGTTATTGTCATGCAAATCAATTAATGTATTAATACGATTACTTCTTAAGAACACATTATTCATGGTTTTTTTTTTGTATTTCTTTCTCTTTTTTGTTACTCTCTAAATATAGATTCTAAGTTGTTTTATTTATGTTTGCGTTTATATAATACACTAATCTACATTTGTGATCCTACTTTCAGTTTATGTATGTATATTTGTAAGTACTCTTGAGTGTTACATATCAAAGTAAAATGAACATAACAAATTTGAATGACAATAATGAAATATGCCTTGTTTAATTAACAGTATCGAATAAAAAAACAAACATTCCAAATATAATAAATGATTTTTATTGTTAGTATTAGAGCTATGTATTTATGACTTTTAATACATTAATTTTTAACATTCAAATTTCTATTATATATTCTTCAGTATCAATTTGATTAAAATAAAAAATGTAAAGTGAATATATATAATAGATAATTAATGAAATGATAATGTAGTGATGAATTGAAGCAAGCAAGAAATACGTTCTTCACTTTTTCTTGCATCTTCATACAATATGCTGCATACTAAACACACATTGAACACACGCTCATATAGACAAATAGATAGAAAGTTGATACAGTATACTAATTACATAGACTGAGCAAGTGATGATTAGTACAGGAAGCGACTACACTCGTAATGAAAAGAAAGAGATAAAGGTGAAAGTACTATTCATGAAAAATCACGAAACAATGAGAATAAAATAAAAAAACACGTAGAAATCTGTTTTGAACATTATATAAACGAAAAACTATTTATTATATATAACTAATCAACAGATTTTAGTATATAGTATAACACGATGGTTTATCTAACACAATGTTTCTGATGTCCTTGTATAATCAATAATAACAAAAGGTTATATTAACTTTTATAAGAACAATCTCATCAGATATCATCTAAATACTTTAATATAAATTTTTACGATAATTCCTATTCAACTTTCTAATAATATAAGAAAACTGAACTTTTAAATCATAAGAATTTAAAACATTAATATTAATTTGAGACTTTCTTTCGATAGATGGCATTGATATACATGGATATAAATTTAAAATAATCATTGATTGGTCAATTAAAAAAAAAATAATAATTGTTGATTGATTTGATATCACGCATGCATGCAACATTGGGTTTTGTATGTAAAAACTGCAGACGTATCCAATATTGTTCTGTTATTTAGTGTAGAATTTTCATATGAACTTATGTATAGTATTTTTAGATTCTCTCGTACACATCTGAAACAACGTATTGAAAATGGACTTTGCTGAGAGAATGTTACGAAAATATGGCTGGGATAATGGTAATTCTTATATATATATATATTGTTTTTTTCTTATAATATTTTTAATTAGATAAAGGTCTTGGTAAAGATAATCAAGGAATGAAAACAGCTCTTAAACCAGTTTTAAAATTTGATACTCGTGGAGTAAGTTTATTTTATTATAATTTAAAACATAATTCAACAAAAATAAAGTTCTTTTTTTTTGTATTGATTTTATTGGTTTTTTTTCTTTGAATGTTCATATTTTAGTTTTAGGTTGGATGTAATCAAAAAGATGAATATTCAAATGAATTTAAATGGTGGGAATATTCTTATAATCGAGCTGCAAAAAAAATTTCACAATCTCTTGAACAATCTGAAAATAAAGAAGAAAAAGAAAAAAAACGTAAATATAAAGAAGATAATGAAGAAGAAAAAGAAAGTTCAAACAAATCTATTTATTCTCGTTTTAAAAAAGTAAGTTTAATTACATTCAATAAATACATCATAAAATATAAGGCAATTAGTATTTTATCTATAAAAATAATATTAAAATCATTCATAACAAATTTTCTATAAATTACTCATATAAAATTTTAGCATTTAGAAAAAATCTTATAGATTAATACTAGTATAACTCATGTATTGAATAAGAACAGAAAGAGAAATAAAAATGATTAATTGTTGTAGAAAAATATATGTTTCTAGAATGAATAATATAGACAAAATTATTGATCGTATTATTCTTTATGATATATTCATAAGTAATATCAATTGTAATAAATGAATGTGATATAATCAATAAAATATGTGTTGTATTTCAATTTTTAATTACTTAATACTTTGTATTAACATATTGTTTTTAAATATGGATGAAATTCCTATTAAACATATTTTGGATTCTGTCAAGAAGATCATTTATTGTTATACAATGAATTCATTTTCTTAATGGTTTAGTTGATAAGTCGTATAAAGGTCATGGTCGATGATGGAAACATAAAGTTGATCACATAGATTCATATTTATCTTGAAAATAAAATAAACAACTATAAAATAAGCTATTCTTAGAAAACTTAGTAACTTTTCATGATACATTTTGTAATATATTTTATCTTTTCTTAATACAATGTATTAAGTCATAATATAAAATGTAACGATTTAGTATGTCTAATCTATTATTTATTTATTTATGTTTTTAGAGTTCAGTTTTAATGGGTAATAAAGAAGAATCTCTTCAAGTCGAAAAAGAAACTGTGATTACTGAAATTAATACTTGTTCATTGTATGTTTATTCTAATTATTAATCTTACAAAAAAAAAACAATCCAATTGCTGATTTTATTTTTAGACCAACTGATGATGAATTACTTCAAATATGTGGTGGTCGAACAGCTCATAAGTAATAATCAATGAGTCTTATTCATAATTTGTTTACCATATACATGTATAACAAATGACGATACACTAACGTTTTTATTACTAAGCATAGTATCTCTTTTGTTTTCATTTCACTTTCTTCATCATCATGTTAGTAATACTTAGACAATGATTGAGAAAGAGAGATGAAAATTAAACGAGTTGTCTATGGCAACAAATAAGTTAATATGTGGTCACTTTTTTATACATGTGCGTAATCAATAAGTAATTCATGAATAAGACTCTTTGTTAAAAAATTCCAAATTATGCTTATTTTTTGTTTTTGTTTTCTCTAGAGGTGCTCGTCATGGCATACGTATGAATGGAAAATTACAACGATTACAAGAACAGGAAGAACGTGCTGTTTCATCTTCTTCTTCTGAAAATGTTGTTGAACAAATTGTAGAAAAAAAGAAAAAGAAAAAAAGAAAAACAATTGAAATTGATGAATAAAATCAATTTAACAGAATATCAACAAAAATTTGTTTTATTTCTGTTTTCAGATAATGTCTCTTCGTCGAACAATTATATTTGGTGTTGTATCATTTAATCGTTTAGCAAAACAAATTAAAACTGCTTTACCTTATGCATTAGGTACAGCTACAGCTGTTACTTATTGTTATATTCAAAATCCATTTAACAAACATCATGCTGCTATGCTTGATTTTTTTCGTTTGACACCAACTTCCCTTGATACTGATGTTTCAGAAAATTATCCTGATAAACCATCAGAATCATTCATGGCTGAACCACTAACCAATGAAGATATTCTTAAAAAAGGTTCGAATTTATATAGACAACGAATGGAAATTTTTATATTAAAATTACAAAAACAAATTTGTCATTCATTGGAACAATGTGAAGCTAAAACAAATAGTGGAATTCAATTTAAAATCGATCGATGGACTCGAGCAGAAGGTGGTGGTGGTATAACATGTGTTATGCAAGACGGAGAAGTTTTTGAATCAGCAGGTGTTAATATATCAGTTGTTCATGGTAAATTACCAGCTCAAGCAATAGAACAAATGAGAAATCGTGGACATCAATTTGCTTCTCAAAATATACCATTAGATTTTTTTGCTGCTGGAATTTCATCGGTTATTCATCCTAGAAATCCACATGTACCAACATTACATTTTAATTATCGATATTTTGAATTAGTTGATGCTGATGGAAAAGTACATTGGTGGTATGGTGGGTAAGTTTTTATTTCATTATTAAATCAATATGATAGTGTATATGAATATATAAATATATATATATTTTTTTCTTTTAGTGGTACTGATATGACACCTTATTATTTAAACGAGAATGATTGTAAACATTTTCATGCAACATTAAAAAAGGCTTGCGATAAAAATAATCATACTTATTATCCAAGATTTAAAAAATGGTGTGATGAATATTTCAATATAACATTTCGTCATAATGAACGTCGTGGTATTGGTGGAGTATTTTTTGATGATTTCAATGAATCCAATCAAGAATCCTGCTTTAGTTTTGTTAAAGATTGTGCAAATACAGTTATTCCATCTTATATACCTGTAGTACAATCAAATTATCAACGATCATATACAACACAAGAACGTGATTGGCAATTATTAAGACGTGGACGTTATGCAGAATTTAATCTTGTATTAGATCGTGGTACAAAATTTGGTTTACAAACACCCGGTTCACGAATTGAAAGTATTCTTATGTCATTACCACCGGTAGCTAAATGGAAATATACATGGGATCTCAAACCTGATTCACCAGAAATGAAGCTTATGAAAGTTTTAAAAGAACCAAAAGAATGGGTTTAATAAAAATATGACCTAATCTGCATGTTTTTTTTCCTAATTGTTATTGCTCATTTTTGTTTTCCTTTATCAATTGATTACACAAAAGAATTTACCTTGATAGATAGTAGTATTTCAAAGATTTCATTGATCTATGCTAAAGATTTTCTGGTCAAATATGCATTAATATTTAAGATAAGAAGTTCCACTATTGGGTATGGGCTATCTCTGCACTATTTTCACATACTCCGATCTCCACAACTATCTTACGCATTTTCTTTTTGGAGGAGATAAAAAGAAAATTAATTTGTTTCTTTCTTTTTATTTTGGAAATATTTACAAAAAAAAAAAATATTTTTTTTTATTGTTGTTGTTAGGATTGAGGATGTTGTTGTTGATGTTACAATAAATTAATAATCTGTTCCTGTTGATTTTGCAGCAGATTAATAATGTGTTGCTTCTGTAGAAAAAAAAACATCTTGCTTACAGTTCTGTTTATTCTTTAGATAGGCCCTCAAAAATTTTTATTAGAAAATATTCATAAAATCCCAGCACATAAATAATTCTACTTCTTTTTTACACATGGAAAAGACTTTCTTTGTTCAGTTTGATGAAGAAAAAAATGAATCTATTCATTGAATGTGCTGATTTTAGACCAAGCTTAATGTATTCCTTACCTAGGCAAAGAAATACAGAATATGTGAGAAAAAGAGAGAATAACGTTGAAGGCGAGGAATGCTCTATATTTGTTACGCTAATATAGATTTTAGATCAACTTAAAATTGTCGTATCTTTAAATAAAGTTCTATTATCCGATTATTTAACGAAATTTTATTTTATTATTTAAAAAGAAGTTTTATCAATGAATCAATTTTTTGTTAAGTCAACTTTTTAAGGCCTAGTGTCATTATGAAGTCATGATGGAGATTCATAGGAATAAATATAGTTCAACGAAGGAAGAAACGTAAACATATATTTACTTCTTGTATTCGAAAACCTTATAGATATCTCTACATAGGAAGGAATCAGTATCATCTGATGGAAACAAAATACCAGGTACGGCATAAAGATTGCAAAATTTAGTATTTTGTAAATATCTCATCACACATCAATCGTATTATCTTGATTCTTTTTTTAAAATTTGCATCATAGAAAGCTCTACAAAAACTGTAAGAACAAATCTCTATTGACTTGTTCTAATGGTTTCTCTCATATTCAAAATGAATAGGTCACATGATGATACTATGTCTCACCGTATTAAATATTTAGAAGACTTTTTTTGTTTTGAAATACGACGTTATTCATATAGTTTTTGTAGAGCTTTCGACGGTGCATCTTTGAAAAAAAAATCAAGACGTTATCATTTTCCCAAGTCGAGACGTTCTCAAAATAAAAGGAAGTCTTCCAGATATTTTTCTTATAGTAAATATGGGGAAACATAACATCGTCATGTGACCTATTCATTTTGAATATAAGAGACATCATTAGAACAAGTCAATAGAGATTTGTTCTTACAGTTTTTGTAGAGCTTTTCATGGCGCAAATTTTAAAAAAAGAATCAAGATAATACGATTGATCTGTGATGAGATATTTGCAAAATACTAAATGTTGCAATCTTTATGCCGCACTAAGTAAGTATATTTATGTTTATATATGATACTATTCTGTACTAATGATTCTCTTTTAGTTTATGTATCTGCATATGTAAAAACTCGACTATTAGATTTCAAAATAAAAGAAAAAGAACTAGTGTTAATGACGATAATGAGATGGACATTCTTTAATTAACAGAATTGAATAAAGAAAGTTTTAGGTTTAATAGCTGATTCTTATTATTGGAACTTAGTAAATTGATTAATTTGACTCTTGAACATATTGGTTATAACATTCGGATCTTTATTAGAAATTTTAAATTGTCAATCTGATTAAATAAAATAGATTAATGGATTAAATTTTTGGAGTTGGTAGAAAACGTCGACAAGGAAGATATCGCAAGCACAATATTGAAAATGACAACGTCCTAAGCGCTAAATTCTTCCTCTTGTATGATAACATGAAGTACTAAATTTCCATCATTCAATGCCGAGAAAGGCAAGAAAGATTTGATAAAAACTTTATTTTTTGGTATTTTCGAAATCAATGATGGTTGCCTGAACAAGAATTCTTTTGTACTGATATCTTTTGTAAACTTTTTACATTTTAAGTGTCAAATCATAGTTCAGAGTCTTCTGTTTTTCTAAATGATTAATCCAATAAGAATGTTATATTCGATCGTGGTACAAAATTTGGTTTGCAAACACTTGGTTCATGAATAGAAAGTATTCTTATATCATTACTACCGATAGTTAAATGAAAAGATGCAGAGGATTGTCAGGCAGATTAATCGGACATGAAACTTATGAAAGTTTTGAAAGAATCAAGAGAACGAGTTGAACTAAAACATGAAGTATTTTTTCTTTGGTAGCTATTTCTCATCTTTTCTTTCTTTGTTGATGGATTCTCCAAAATAACTTAGCACAGTAGATAGTAGTATGTCAAAAATTTCTTTGATTGATGCTTAAGATTTTCTTATGAAATGTGATATGATATTTAACACAAAAAGCTACACTCTTGTTTTTGTATCATTCGAGAAATGAATATTTACAGTTAGAATAATAAATCATCTTATTCATTCATGTCTAAAATAACTTTTTTTTTTATTATATTTGAATTATAAAAAGAGAATTATGAGCAATCTTGTTTGGTTGGTTTGACTCCATCTACATTAGCTCCCATATCTTTCAGAATCTTTTTTAGTTCATTGATACGTGATGGCGATAATGATTTGGTTCGTCTAGATAAAATAAAACAAAAATCTTTTCGAATATTTACTTCATGAGAAGAGTGAAACTTACGAAAGAAGCCAGATAAATTCCATTTTATAACTAAAAATAGGTATAGATTCACAAGCATAAACAAGTGCATATTCATCGTAATTGGTTGCGATTACATTATAGTCACCTTTTCGAGCTGTATAGAATAAAAAAGATAATTAATTTGAGAATAGACGAAAGGCGAACGAAATAGTCTTACGAGGATTAGAAAAAATAACTTCTAAAGCAGCTGGGTCTGAAGGATCTTTTACTCTAGCAATCCCTCTAATAGAATAATAACCACCATATGCTGTAATAGCTTGATTGTATACACCCACTGTTCCATTGTCATTGGCTGTATAGGTAGCATTTTCACATTTAGATGCTATTTCAAAAATAATATTATTTCTTTCGATTTCGTACCAAAGACCTAAATACTGGAAACAATACATGAATAAAAGTATTATTACTTAATGATTAAAACATTCAACTTGCTTTGGTGACATTAAAATTCTTCTGAGTAACAATTTTCGGACATTCAGAAGCAAATGATTTACTAAACAGTGAAAGACAGACAATGATTGCTATCGAGAGAAACATGTCAGTAATGATGTGATTTCTCACTGTCATATTTTTGCGTTTTATACTTGGTATTCCAGATGATGTGGTTCTCAGGATTATATAACCACCTTTTCAGTCAATATGAGTACCAAAAGATGTGCACAATCGTGCATTACGACATCAAAAACCGGTACTTTGAAAGTTCATCATTCCATAGGAAATTGAATTCTATTTGAATTTTGGACACGCAGTTGGTTATCAGTAAATAGAATATGATGTGAGTCATCAGAAAAAAAAGAAAAAGTTTGATTAAAAAGAACATTTTTTCAGTCTAAGGATAAAGTATTGATATTTTTTTTTAGAAACCAATTAATTAATTTCAATTTTAATATTCATTATTCGACAATGGCCTTAGCAGATTTTCAATCATTTTTTTTTGTTTGAAGAAGATTTTCTTATGTTGAATACATATGATACTTTTCAGTTTCGCGCTTCTCATTCAAAAAGCAATAAGACAAAGACTAATAACACTCTCATATCATGTATCTTATCTCAATAGTCACTCTTTCTATTTGCCTGTTAAATATTGACCAAGTCGAATCATATCAATGTTCATGTTCGTGTTGTTTTGGTCGGGGCTGTCAACCATCCCAATTACCCGGTTTAGTCGATGCTCAACAATGTACCGATGCATCATGTTTAGAAGCTTGCAAAGCGCGATATTATCAATGTAATGTATTACCTGAAAACGGTCAAGCTATTGGAAAATGTCTTACAACAACTACAACAACTACGAATTCTCCAATCATTGGTGGTCCATATTCATGTCAATGTTCGTGTTGTAATACAGGTTCATATTTATGTGCACCTACATTCGTTGGTAATACAAATTCTTTTTCATGCCAAGTTGGTGCATGCAGTATAGCTTGTACTAAACAATATCCACATGTATGTGTAAATAACCAATTTGGTCAAACTCAAGGTACTTGTGTTGGAACATTCACTTCCACAGTAACTATACCAAGTGGATCATCACGATGTGGATGTGCTTGCCAATTATCAACTGGATATCATTATTATGAAGTGATTACCATGAATGGCTGTTCATCATGTTACAGTGCTTGTCAATCAATTCAACTTCAATGTTATGCTCATCAAACAACCTATTGTTCTAGTTAAAAAGAGCTCATTCAATAAGAAATTATTGAAATAAAAAGTTTATTAACAAGTAAAGAAAAACTATGTTAAACTATCACAAAAAAAAACTTTGAACATCTTTTTTTTATGGGAACTATGTAATGAAATGTAATATGGTGATATGCTTGTTTCAAAAGAACTAGGTCTATGTGTTTCCTGTGTAGAATTTTGAACTGTTATTGAAGATATCCGTGGGACATTTTCATTCATTTCAATTAATCGATGGTTTAAATCAATTAAAATAATATCCGTATATTCCTGTACAACAATATCATCTAATTCAATAGTTCCAAGATCTTTTTCAGTTATCTGATTATTAAAGAGCGACAGAAATCAGAGCACAAAACGGTGGAGAAGTTCTTGACCTTCTCTTCTTAGAATCTTTTTTTCTTCTCTGATTTACTTCGCCTTTTCCTAGTGAAAACTTGTCGTGAACTCAGAACCTCACCCTGATTGGACGCTCTTTTTTTGCTATCTAGTATTAATACATATATGTAAAGAAAAAGAATGTTAGAAAAAAGCAAACAGGATGCAAATCATGAGAAAGCAAAATTATTTCAAATGCCAGTAAACTTGTTGAAAATATGGAAATCAACAGAAATCAAAGAATTTCTTGCTAAAACCTTTGCCATAGAATCTTTGTAATGCATTTTGATTGTCTAAAATATATTACATATTCCAGTTCGAGCGTCAATAGAATATTTAAAATTTAGCTTCAAACGAAAATACAGTCTATTGCAACCATCGACTACAATTTTAATGCATTGGATTGTAATAAAGAAAAACAGACATAACTTTCATACGTAGCTAATCGAGTAGTTTTGTTTTCTCTTTTCTTTTAGAAACTCACTGCAAAAGTTTCTTTTTTCGTTCTAAAGAACTACCAAATTTGTCTTTCAAAGAAGTTTTTCTAACTGACAAAAAATGAGAAGGCTGAAAGTTACCCAAATGATCAACTGAAATCTTCGATGTGTTTGATGGACTTCGATCTATTTATAGAATTTTGTGTACGATGAAGTCTTATTCTAGAGTGGAAGTTAATGACATCAATAACTGAAGACATTCATACACTGCGCTACTAACATCTGGGTAAACGGTGTGACGTTATTGTTCAAAATAAAAAGACTTCGAATTGATATTTGCCGGTATTTTTGGGGTGTGCAATCAGAAGCATTGCTTGCAAAGTTAGACGTACTCTATAAAAAAAATTTACTAACATACTATCATATATAAGCCTGCAGTCAAAAGAAAATCACGTAAAATTTAAACTGAATAATGGAACTGCTCAGGCTACTTCGAAATAAGAATAGAGGCTGTCCAAGGTCTATCAGACGATTTTGAAATTATTATTTAAAATATTCTTCATGTACATATTTTTTAGCAAAAAATATGAATATAAATCGACCGATTGACTATTTTGCAGAGAATTGTTTACCATTTTCCAAGTCTCGATAAATCTCTTTATTTCGAAAATGGTTGATCAATTTCGGTTTTTTAACTATCGCTGTTGAGCAACTGAGCTCCAATGAGCATCATTCGTTTTCCATTGGTAAGAAAACCTTACCTGAATAGCAAACTCGACAGTTTCAAAGAGCAAAAAACTTTCTAGCGTATGAGCTAAAGATGAAACCTTTGCAATGTATTTCTAGTTTAAAAAAAAACGAAAATAAAAGTTTCCCATACTTTTTGCATTACTTAAAATCAAATTTCACATTCTTTACATCCTTCCAAATACAAATTAACAATGAGAAATTGTCACACGTTTTTTATTTGATAAAGCAATATTTCTTTCAGAAGTTGGTTGCTTTTCTTTTTCAATTAGTAATTTAAGAACCTTCTAGAAATTGAAACCATAGCTACATAACTCATTTTTGTTTATTAAACAACATAGATGTATTTTGTAAACTGATCTAAGAGAAAAGAGTTGACGTATAGGAGATAGAAACTTGGATTATGTTTCTCTCAGACGTGAAAGACACAGTAGGAATAGCTCATCACAAATTTTATATTAACAATTTCTCGTAATAATCTATGAAGTACTTTCTTATTGCGTATGTAGAAGATTAATCAAAAAGATGTTGAAGAGATATATTCCAAGATAGATAGCATACAACAATCTTCTTGTGATTAGCAACAGCAGCTACATTGTGTTTCATTTTTTCATCCTGTAAAGATTGTGCTAACTGCTTTTATCAATAGTAACTTAAATATTAACAATAACGAAACGCATACTCAGAAATATGTTTTATTTTACTTAGCTTTGTTATATAATAACACTAAAAGTGACAAAAAAAAGAGTTGTCGAAAAATCTTTTCTTCTTTTTCTTTTGCATATGTATGAGTTAAATTGTTTGTTTTGTTCTCTTTTCATCACTATTTATTCATGTGTCTCACTGCTACATGAGAAAAAAACAAGTGAAACACTTATTTCCACTTGAACATATAAACATTTTCTCTATTGTGCTTGCATTATCTTCATAGTAACGCCAACTATTTTCTGTTACTAATGTCACGCGCTCGACAAAATGAGGTACGAATAAAGAAAATAAAGATTAATAAATTAGATAAATATCTTAATTTAATTTAGCGAGTTGTTCTTGTTGAAACCGACGGTCATGGTAATATCTTAGATTATGATGTTGTTGACCGTCCATATCGATCGTATCTAGCTAAGAAATCTTCATCAGTTAATCGTTCACAACCGATAAAACAATCACCAAAATTCAAAGCAGTAGAAAAATATGACGCAGATGATTATGAAGATGAAAACGATGATAATGATTATCAAGAGAGTAGAGGAAATACATCTTTCTCTAGTGGACTAGGTGGAAAAACACGTCGAGATACTACTGTAGAAGTAATTAGAACTTTATTTCCATATAATTTTGTTTATAGATCTCTTTTCTTTCTTTCAAAGACACCGCCAACATCTCGTCGAGTTCGTTATGTTCGACCGAAATCAACTGTTAAAGTACACAATTATCTGTCTAAATTCAATAATTTTCATTCTCATATTCAATATAGATTTTTCAAGAAAAAGTTGATTGGAATGCAAATCCAAAAATCGATGCCCGTAATGATGAAGCTATGGAAAAAATTCTTAATGCACCAAAGAAAAAGATATACCATGAAAAACCTACATGGAGTGGAAAACCAAAAATTGATTCACATAATGAAGAAATTGTCGAAAATATTCTTCGAGCACCAAAACCAGAAGTATATTTTTTTTTCTATTCAATTAAAAAGAAAAAAACAAACTTTTAATTATATATTAAAAGATATTTTACGAAAAGCCTATATGGAATCAAAAACCAAAAATTGATTCACATAATGAAGAAGTTGTCGAAAATATTCTTCGAGCACCAAAACCTCAAGTATACTTATTTAATAAATTTTTTATGTGCTTTGTTAATGTTTATTTTTAAAAAAAACAAAACAAGATCTATGAAGAAAAAATCAAATGGACAGCAGATCCAAAAATTGATTCTCATAATGAAGAAGCTATTGAACGAATAAAAAGTGCACCAAAACCAATTGTAAGATTATTTTTCAGTCAAGAAAGAAAAACTTTTCTTTCTTTTTATTTAATAAAGATTTATGATGAAAAACTTATATGGCCAACTGTTCGTAGAACTGATCATTATAATGAGCAATATGTTAAACATAAAGAACGTGAAAAAGTTTCTCACAAGGAAAAAATTTATATTCAAGTAAATTGTTTTTAAAAATGAATGTCATTTTCAAATGTTTGTTTCTTTTGATTCTATTAAACATAGAATGCTCCACAAGAACGAAAACCAAAAAATCATAGAGCTCGTATTGATAATCAAAATCCAGATTTTGATGAACACATAAAACGACAAAAATCAGCGAAATTACCTGTATAAAAATAAAATCAATTTACAATCATTTCTAAATTTTTTTTTATTTTGTGTTTTTTTTAGCCAATCGAATCTAGAAAACTTGAATGGCAAAAAAGACCACGTATTAATCAAAAAAATGATGATTATATTGAACGTATGCGACAAAAACGATCAATACCTATAGTATGATATTAAATACTTATTCGAAACATACATAAATGTAATATTTAATTGTTTTTTTTAGATTTATCAAGAAAAACTGAAATGGTTTACAAAATCACCAAAAATTAATGCTCGTAATGAAGAATATTTAGATAATTTAAAAGGACAAGCAAGACCAAAAGTAAGTGTGAAAAAAAAGAATTTTACTTAAATACTTTCCAATGTCAATATCTTTTCGAGTTATATGATATTCTGTTGCATTTTGATAATCAATAATTGCACACAAAAAAAAATACACAATTGTTTTTAGAGCTTACATTTAACTAGACATGTGTAATTACAGTTTGCTGACTACTGATGTCACCGACTCCGTATAATTAGTACACACTGACTATACAGTCACACTGCTACCAGTATTCACTGACGTATTAGAACATATCACTACAAAAAAGGCATATTTTGTTACAGTTGAAATTTCAGTATTACAGCGAATGCTGGTGTCAGCATAAACAGTATTCTGGCGGGCAGTGCATATGAGAAATACTGTCCAGAATTTCAGTGTTGATATAAACATTTCACATTCCTAAGTTTTACTTTGAATCTAGATTATTAATCAATTACCTCGTTGGAGATCTCAACCAAAAATCGATGCATATAATGATTCTTATGATCCAAGTTCATACACTGAACCAATGGTAACAAGTTTTTTAGTATCATATTTCTAATATATTTTTTTTAAATTAAAACAGATCTTTAGTGAAAAACTTCGATGGCATGCAAGACCAAAAATCGATACTGGTCTTGAACCAGATCCTAACGAAGATCAGGTTCTATAAGATATTTTTTTTTTTCCTTTACATTTGATATTATTTTTTTTAGTATGTTGATTATGGTTTAACAGCTTGATGAAAAAAGAAATATATATATAAATAAATTTATCATTTGTTTCTTTCTTCGAATTTTCATTGCATTTTCTCTCACTTTTTCATAAGTGTATCAAATCGACAAATATATATATATATGTGTGTATGTAGAGACCCTGAAATCTTCACCACGTTCGTTTTTTTATGATGCGGTGTTGTTAAATGGTCTTTTTTCTCCGTCAATAAAAAATACGTACATACAATCGGTCTGACATATCCATGTGATGATGAGAATAGAAGCAAAAAAAGAGAAGAATCAATTGTGTATATATATATATAAATTTCCGTCTATTTGAATGAATGTAAGAAAAAAAATTCCTAATCAGATTTTACAATATCAATTCATGGTTTTTTTGTTTTTCTCATAAAAAATTAAAAAAATACTATCAATAAAATAAAACTGAATGAAAGTCCATTCAATGAATATAACTGAGAAGAAGACGAATAATATGGACTATAATTTGAGAGACCAATTATTGAACGAATAAAACTATTATAAGTACCTACACGTGTATAAATCCCTGGTGTATTCGGCTTACCACTAAAGAAATAAAAACAATATTATCTTGAGTATCAAATCTTTTTTTTTTATTGCATATCTTACCATGATTTACCAAAAGATGTTATACCTACGATTTCCCAATGATTATCTGAATTTTCTATCATTAATGGACCACCTAAACTAAATAAGAAATTAATTATAAGAAACATACAATTGTTTAGATAAAACCTGAATCAGCTTGACATGTATCAGAACCACCTTGAAGTTCTCCTGCACAAATTTGTCCTGGAAGATAAGTAACATATACACTGCATGGCCATTTTGTTGCATCAAGAATCGGTAAAACAACTTGTTTCAATGTTGTTGATGCGTCACCACCAAAAGCAGTTGATCCCCAACCAATGGCAACACCGGATATTTTCATAGGTGGATAACTTTTACCTGGAATATCATCAGGCGGTAAACATATTGTATTAATACGTGGATCATTATCAGGTAATGGTGAACGAAGTGTTACAATAGCAATATCATTAGCAAATGTATCTGGATCATATTGAGGATGCATAGTTATTGATACAACTGATACGGGATTTCTTTTGTCAGTAGTATAATGAGTACCAGCTATAATATTTAAATCATTAACTCCATCAAAATCTTCCATACAATGTGCAGCTGTAAGAACATGACGTCTTGTAAGAAGAACTCCACCACATAGATGCAAATCATTTAAAGATCGTTTGGTTAATGAAACCATCCATGGATATGAATGAGGTACAGCATCTTGTCCACCCATAATACGTGAAAATCGATTCGTTATTTGACTTCGTCCACAAGCTTCATTTCTTAATGGATCAATTCGTTCCAAAGGTAATGTATTTTTAAAAAAATTTGATGATGGTACATCTTGATTTGTCCAATACCATGAATAAGCTAATGGTTTTTGATTTGATGAATAATACCATTTTTGCCTATTGATATTAGTCATTTGATGTTGTTGATAAAAATTTGCTGGTCCATTAAAAAAACTTTGATACTCTTGTGGCTTAGATTTACCATCACCATGAGCAAATATAATCGTAAAAATAAATTGCACAATATAATATAGAAATACAATATTAAACATGATGGATGTTAATTCCTTAAATCACTCATCATTTTTTGCTCTTACATCAACTATATTTGTCAGCTGATACGGCATTTATAGTGACACATATGCTGATGTGAAGAGAAGAAAAAAGAATGAAAATCTATGTTACGTTATGATGATTTTACGTTTTTTTTCTTCGCTCGTCTATTTTTATTCTGTTCTTTCATGATGTGACAGAAAGAGAAAAAAAAACGCGACGCTGTTATTTTTTTTCGCATTTTTTTTGTAAGTTCTGCGTGTGTCAGAGACGAAGACTCGTTTGCATTAGTTTAATCATTGGTGTTTTGAAGAACATATGTGTATGCATTATGTTGATCTAATACAGATGAGTTTTTTTTTGTTGGCCTTGTTCGATATAGAAAAAAATTTTTAACAAGAGGAAAAAACGAATTAGTTGGTCACATTGAATAAGACAATGATATTCGTGAAGTGCTTCAATTTTCACTTTTTCTAGCTTGAAGAAAAAAAAATGAACGATTTCTTGTCATAGTGACTCTCTTGTATACACAATTGCGCTAAATAAACTTTATATTGATAAGCACGAGTAGCGTATTATATATACTATCATATGGATGAAGATATTGGAATGAGAGTCGATTTCGAAATAGAAAGGACAACACAATGGTTTATATTAACTTGATATTTCTCTTGTTGGAATTAATATAGGATAAACAAATGTCCTTTTTTTGTTGCTTATTCATTCATATATTGGATCAATGAACATCTCAGATTGTCTTTAAAAAAAAATTAATTAATTTTTCTCAAGGTCATTTATCAAAACTAATGTCATTTTATTATTTTAAACGGCATGATTTAGTAAGAATAAAGTACATTCGTCTTTTTGCATAGACGAACATAAATAAAATGCATGCTGAATCATAGTAAATTTAACTGTGAATAATTTATTTTGAGAGCAATGATTCGACCTATGATTTTATTTCTTCAGAAGAAACAATCCATGACCTATTACGGTTCAAATATCGAGTATTACATTAGATAACCTGCAACCTCAGGCGACAAAACATCGTAAAAATGAGTGGGCACAAAATCAGTGACAAACAATGTATATAAATACGTAGACTGGATTGACTAATATCATTCGATTATATAAAGAAATATGCAACCAAGATTATTGCTTTATCGTGGGTT